AATGGTTCTAAAACCCTCTTAATTATATTGTATCCTAGATCTCCCTTAACCATTAAGAGCCCTAATTTCATTGTACACAATTACCAAACAATTATATTTCATTTTGACCTATATCAAAAGAGCCTCTTAATCATTCTACGCCAAACCATTCAAATTGCTAAGATAAATCAAAACTCCATAGAAGACAATTGGAAATCAACCTGATTTTCTATAATCCAGTATGTGCCTTCGGATTTCTTCAAGTTTACCCCATCCACATTGCAGGTATTCGATGTGGAGATAAACCCCAGCTATACGAGGATCATATGCCGCCTTTATCAAGTTTTCACAGATTTGAGGTAGGGATAACCCTGAAGAGAAACCACGCTTCACCTGATCAGATATCTGAAAATTGCATCGGCAAAATTCAGTTCATCAAAAATCCAATGCACAAACAGAAGTTAACAACGAAAGAGGGATCAAAACAACCAAACCTTGCCACGCAATTTGATATTCAAAACACTGCCCTTACGAACACGTTGCCATGGATAAGCAATCATCATCCGTAGCTTCACCACGGAGCTCTTCCACACACCTGGTTTTTTGAACTCAAATTCGCCACTAGGATACTCATCATCGCCTCTTAAACCGCCACCGTTATCCAATTCGGACTTGCATTCGCGTCTATCCTCGTGATTCTCTGCTGAAACATCGTCAATTTTTGGTGTCAGATTCGCAATTCGAAGCTCAAATGGAGAAGACAATGTTAATGATTGCAACATAATCAGATTGAAAACAGGATCAAAGTATGATGAACTTAAAGATGATTGTAATGAATGCTTACTTGTTGTGACATCTGATTCCAAAATTTCAGTAGATTTAGAAGCCATGATCTTGTTGTAATCATGAGAGATCAACCAATTTTGGTTAATAAAGGAGGGTTGAAATGCAATTAGGGGAAGTCAAAGTCAAAGTCAAAGTCAACAAAATTTCTTTGTTGGTCTTTCTTTAATCCTATTTTCCAACACAATTTGGAATCAAGTGATGAGATGACCGCGAAACCGTTGTATTCTTGTGTTTGGAGAAATACATTAAATAAAGAGAAAACTACAAATTTGGTCCCTGTAGTTTATTGTTTGTAATACTTTTAGTCCTTATGTTTTTTAAATTATAAAATAATCATCATGGTTTCCAAAAACAATCAAATTTGGTCTCTTTCTTTAACAATCATTAAATAAAGGACATTTTCGTCATTTTAAGTCTTATTTTATTTTCTATTAAAGATTAAAAAACTTAAAATATCCATTCAATCAAATAATGACAAGCGTCTCACTTTTCACACATATGCACATTGAAATGATATTCACCAGTGAACTTTATCGGCACCGGTCTTCTTCTCCGGGCCAAGAGTAAGAACATACATGTCTCAAATCAAAATCAATTTCATATCCAAATAACAAAATAGAAATCAATTCTGAATCCAAATCTTAGAATAAAAAACCGTCACTAACAATCAAAACCTTAACTAAAACCAACGATCTATGATCCTTAATGTAAACCCTAATTGAAGAATCCAGATTCAAACCACAATCGAAACCAAATACAAACTTACAAATCTGAAGCAACCCCTTTAAAATCTAAAACAAATTCGATGTGAATAGAGAGATTTTGAAGCCATACTCAAATTCGCGTTCTCATGTTAACTCTGCTTCTCACACGATCCTTTGCCTATATACCTGCATACACAAATAACAAATTAGAGTGTTAATCACTGGAAAACAATGTTCAAGCAATTCCAAATTGAAAACAGAGGTAGACCACTACTCACTTCTCTTAGCATTTGATCAAGTCCTCCATTGCAAGAAACCATAAGATAGACATCGTTTTCACAAACCCTGTAATGAACATATTCAAATTCAAGATTTGCAAGAATTTCAAATTCCATTGATTTATAAACTGAAAATGTTTACTGTGAAAATTTTATTAGAGTGAATCCTAATTTCATCCCCTATAGCATCGATGGTACTAAATTCCATTGAGTATGGTTGTCTTAACTATTGTGTCATGCGGTTGTGACATATGTCACAATAACACCCATGGTACTGAAAGTATGATCATCTTGACTATTGCGTCATGCAGTTGTGACACATGTCACGATAGCACCGGTGATACCAAGTGTTTGGTGGTCCCGATGATCATGTCATGCGATAGTGACACTGGCACAATATTCAGATCTTTGGTAAGGTGAAATCCCAAGTCCTATGTGTGTTTCACCATTAGAATAGTTTAATAAGTATTTTGAAGTTGGATTATATTAGGTATCATCTTTTAGGAGAGAAATAGGCTCAAACAGGTGAAAATAGGAAGGAAAAAAAAACTATCGATGTCGGTCATGGGATAGTGCCCGCAGATGGTGTCATTGGGCACAATAGCATGTTAGGGTAGTCAAAGGAGAAAAGGAGCCTCGGTACAATCCTGGCAATAGTGACATGGGCACAATCACCTGTCACTATCGCAGGCGACCTGTAGTGCTTAAAATCGGGATTTTCTTCATTTGGTCATAACTTATTCACCTCTACTTCGATTTGGGTGATTCAAGTTGCTATGGATCCGTATTTCGAAGCTATTCACAAAACGTTCCCTCTACTTTTTAGGTTAGAGGTCAGGTCGGTGTACATCATATCGTTCAGACCCCACATCTAAGTGGGACATACTCACTATACTAGGCTTGTTTTGTTTGGTCTTGTACTTAAAAAAAAACATTCTCTCTACACCTTGGGAGAGGGGGGGGGGGGGGGGGGGGGGTTAAGGTACGGTTTGTGTACATCTTCCCCTCCTTAGACCCTATTTTCTAGAATTCACAATTCTACTTGCCTAGTTCATGTAGTTCATACTACAAGTGTTCAGTATATAATATTTATATATGGCAAAACTCACACACCATCCTTATCCAGGGACGGATATGTAATGGTGCCATAGATGACATGTGCCACCATATTATTCCTCGATCGAAGGGTAAAAAATTTAGGTTCGTAAGAGATACAACTATATCGTCTTAGAAAGTGTAACCGTATTCTTTTTGGAACTTAAAATGGTACAACTGAATTTTTTTAAAAAAAATAGTAAATTAAATAAGCCCAATTTCTAAATTCTAATTTCTAGTGACATGATATTCTGATCTGCAAAGCATTTGTATAATACCATGTAGCTTACGGCCCAATTCCAAATTAAACCCAAATGGCCAAATTGGCCTTACCCAAATTTAACTCCTTTTCCCCTTACTAGCAGCCAGTGATGGCCAAAAACCGGTCCCGGGTTGGACCGGGCCGGTCCTAATCGGTCCCAAGCTTTCTCATAACCGGCCGTAAAATTGTCAAGTTGGATATGGCAGAAGGTTATGTTAATACAAGAAATCCAAGGAAAATGATGAACAATAACAATCGACATTGTTATAATTATGATATATTCAACACTGTTTTGGTCGAGAGTTTGGTGATCATTTTTGTGAGATAAGCACCGACTTGCTTCAAAGTATGACAACTTTGAATCCACACAATTCCTTTTCTCAGTTTAATAAATCAAGCCTATTGAAGTTGAATGAGATGTATCCACGTTGTTTTGATGACAAGGAAATGAACGTTATGTGAGCACAAACTTGACATCTACTATCATTATGTTTATAACGATGTCAAATTTTCCAACTTAAATGGCATTGCCGACCTTGTTAGATTAATGGTGGCAACATGAAAACATCTTTCTCATCCTTTAGTCTACCGATTATTGAAGCTAACACATGGTTTCGCCCATTGCAACTGCTACGTTTGAAAGATGTTTTTCGACGATAAAGATTGTTAAGTCAGATCTACGTAATCGAATTGGTGATGACTTTTTGAATGTTCCCCTCATTTGTGCCATAAAAAAGGAAGCACATGATAATGTTAAGAATGAAGATGTCATCGATCGTTTCCAAAAGATGAAGACACACCCAATATAAGTTTAGGAGTTGTTTCTTAATCTTATAAAAACCATACTTTTTGTAATTATTTATATATTGACCGTTTTCAAAAGATGAAAGACGTGCCAAACACAAATTTAGGAGTTGTTTCTCGTTCCTATAAAAACCATATTTTTGTAATTATTTTTCGGTCTATATTATATTATATTAATTATACGGTGCCACCGTTTGAAGAAGAAAAAAATGGGTCCGTCTCTGCCTTCATCTTTAGTAAGAACGAACTCTGTCACCTAGAAGAATTTTGAAATCTACTAATAACCCTGATACCGTTAGACGAATTGATACTTTGAAACTAATATTTTGCGGATCTCTTAATAAATAATTTCCACAAAATTATGTAGTCAATGAAGAGCATCTAAGGGGTAGATTCGATATGGTACCAAGTTTTTTTTCTTTAATATCATGTACCAACCAATTATAATTGGTACGTAAAATCATATACTATATTCCAGCCAGCTATACTTGATACCAACTTAACTGGTACTGATTTTTTTCAGTTGACGCATGTTGGTACTGGTTTGTACCAACATCAAGTTACAAATATGAAAACTTAGCATTTTGTTCGAATTTTGAGCAACAATTTGAAGTAATGTTTAAAGATTTTTAATTATAAGAAATAGAAGTTACAAACATTCAAATGTTTAAAGAAAATAGTTAAAGTTACAAACATTCAAATGTTCAAAGAAAATAGTTAAAGTTACAATATTTAATATTTGATGTATAAAAAATACAAAAAACTTATAATAAATAAAATAAGTCGATATCATGGTACTGCCGTGGTATTAGACTTCTAATACTATATACCAACCAAGTTTTCATATTTGGTATGATATTACTAACTGACTGTAATTAGTACCAGTTTAATTTAAATATAATATTTAAAGTGATTAAACATTTTCACCAAGTAAAATGGGTACCTCTATGTTGGATTTTTGTATATAACGAGATTTTAATTAAATTCATGACCTTCTGATAAATATAAAGCTATTTTCTCTTTAATAGACGATTGACTATTATGACCTTCACCGTCTTTAACAACAACAGTCATAAATGATTTATGAATGGTCGGTTCTTACGGTTTTCAAAATTCTTATGATTATGGGTTTCAAACGACAAACGCAACGTGGACTAAAATAAATATCGAAACGGGGTGTGTTGATGCTTGCTTTGTGCCGGAACGGTGCTTATCAAAATGTATAAGCTCCTGAGATCAAGGAGAATTTAGGTAGTCTTTTAGCAAAGCGAAAATGGGGTCTGCAAACGAAGATCCTTCTGATTGCTGAAACATGATCCCGTCCATACGGGCTTGCACTTCATTGCTCGATGTTAAGCCATCCACCAGTTGGCTTAATGATGAGTTCCCTATCCCGAACAGGATTCTTGTTAAAGACAGTGATGGTCGTGAGAGCTCAACCAAAGTAACCTGGATACATTCAGCAATATCGTTAAACAAACATGTCGGCTTATGCTGTTCGATAATGGACGACGGGATGCGTGAGATTTACAACTCGTTTACGTTGGAAGTAGACGCAACGGAAGAATATAAATACTTCTTCCATCCAACAAAACGAGTTCATTTTCGACTTAAAAATACAAACCTTATAAGTTTCAAATGAAGGATCCAAAACACTTGGAAGTGTACTTCCATGACTATTAAACCATTTGACCTATTTCATCTTCCACTAAATACACCGAGGGTCCGTTTGGTTTGATGGATTAATTTTGAGGGATTTGGGTTTCATGGAAAGATCATCGAAATCCCGGGATTTCAATTCCACACTTTCCTTTAACCCAAACGCAAACGCAAGATTGAAACAGAATTCAATTCCAAATCCTACCAAATCCCGCAAACCAAACGGACCCGAACCCATTTTTGGAAGTGCAACTAACTCAACTCTGGAAGCATTATTCGGACTTTCTAATGTACCACAAATGTTTTTTCAATCCTCTTTTCAAGTTAAAATGGAACTCCAAGCCATACACGTTTTATATCGTTATTATCAAGGGTTTTGTTTCTTTTTTTGCCTATTCGAGATTCTTAGAAATTGACAACCATTGGAACCAACCTGTTTGTCCTGAGGTATGTTGGCCTTCTGCTTTGCTATAGCAACTGCTCGTGAGAACCCTCCAATTGCATCAACTAAACCCCGTGAAGCAGCATCATTACCAGTCCACACTCTCCCTTGAGCGATCTCCTCCATCTTATCCACCTGCAGTATAATGACTTGGTTGCCAATTGCGTAACTATAAAACAAAACCGACCCAAAGCAAACCAAAAGATCCCAGTATATCCCGCTTGAGCACGGGGTCTGTGGAGGGTGAGATTTATACCTCTCCTCTACCCCAAGGAGGTTTGTAGAGTTTGTACAAAATGGGGAGGTTTGCAAATGATCCCTCCCCTATATATATATATATAGAGAGAGAGAGAGAGAGAGACGAAGGATCGTGTGAGGATAGGAGTTAAGGTGAGAAGTGTAAGAAGGGATTTGGACCCTTGATCACTTTTAATCTCAAACCAACCCATGAATTGCACTTTAGAAGGGAATTGATATGGTGTTTCTCATTAGTGTTGATCTAGTGGAACTCTTCAATTAGGATTGATCCAAGGGTAGAGATCCCTTCTTACCCTTCTCACATGAAACCAACCAAACCAAATGATCCCAATATATCCCGCTCGAGCACAGGATCTGGGGAGGGTGAGATGTATACCTCTCCTCTACCCCAAAGAATAAAGCGGCTCTTTTGACTAACTATTGAATACCTAAAATTTTAAAATATTAAATCGAGTGACAACATACGCTCATTGATCTTGCATTGGCTGCCTTGTCACGAAATTGTTTATACATATGCTGGGTAGATTCTGCATAGAGTTTCTCTTCATCTGGTCTGCACATAAGTTTGCAAAGTGGTTAGAATTATAAGAAATAATAAGAATCAGAAAGCAACAATAATTTGTTGATGAACAAATTATTCACTACAAGAAATAAATGGACCTCAGAGACAAGATATCATTAAGCAATCAGATGGGAAAACTTCCACTTCTGAATGTAAGAATATGTACAACCCCATTGGTGAACTCTCCAAAAGAGCCCTTGAGCAGAGAATGAGGGTTGGTTCCAACATATATAGAGGTGGAATGGTTCAAGTCTAGCTGATGTGAGACTCTTAACACGCCCCCTCCAACGGAGGCTAGAATGGCACATATTGTCACCGAGTGTTGAGAGAGGGCTAGATGGGTACAAATTGCCCAGAGTGTCAAGTCCCTAGAGCATATACCATGGCTCTGATACTGTGTGAGAATATATGCAACGCCTTCAGATTACACTCCAAAAGAGCCCTTGAGGAGATAATGAAGGTTCCAACATATTGAGAGGTGGAATGGTCCAAGTCTAGCCGATATGAGACTCTTAACACTGAACATCTAATAAATCAAGGATCTTCTCACCTGAAAGGCCGGTCAGCAGCCATCAGCTCAGCAAATTGTCCCTTTGATATGATTTCGTTGTTGAAACCAATCCTTTCATATAGTTTCCCCAAGTTGAACTTAGCTACAACAAAAAATCTTGATTGAACATAAAACTTGGAAGAGTCAAACATGCTAAAAACATCTAGGAACTTTTATTTTGTTAACAGCATATAAACACGGACTATCTGACAAGAGTAAAGCATTCAAAATTGAAAGCACCTAGAAAAACGAACAACTGTAATACACAAACCACAAAATGGTTTGCTTATTTAAGTAGCAACTATGGTTAGTGGCAATCCGACTAGTTTTAAACCAGATGGGCATAGGTTGTTCCAAAGTGGTAGACTTGGCTTTGATACCACATGAGAATATGTAGAGTCCCATTAGGCATTAGATTACTCTCCGAAAGATCCCTTGAGGTTAGAAAGGAGGTTCTGACATATATTGAGGTAAAAGGGTCCAATTCTAGCGAATTGAGGCTCCAACAAGGGAAATCCTGAATCAAAATGAAAGTCTAATTAAACAACACCCCTGATTTTAAAATTTTATCTTATCATTGATCAATGAAACCTAAATTTCTAATGAAGTTTTGGAAGATTTAGCAAGTGTAACGAAATCCAACTCAAAATTCAAGAAAAAAGTTGGAGAATAGTGTAAACTACTTCTGAAAACACCAATTGAACCGGTCAAAGTAAGATTCTCTGAGAGTATAGTCTGTGCTGCCATTGCCATGTAGTATCCTCCACTAGCTGCAGTATCAACCATTGACGCAATTACAGGCTTAGATTCAGCCAATAGACTGATTTCCCTCCACATCCTGCACAATCAAAACCTAACCACATGAGAAATCAAATAGTCTCATAACTTTTTCACTTAGTTTGTCTTCTTTTTATCATCTGTCTTGTTTTTTATTTATGAAGAAAACTATAAACTTTACCATGTTTTAGTATAGTAAACATGGGAAGAAACACAAGTATCTAAAATAATTCCTGAGTGTAACTACAGAGGGAGGGAGAGAACCAATTACTAAAAGTCAGATGGTTTATTTATTCAAATAAATGTTCAAGGACTTGATCATTCGAAATGGGAAAGTTCAGTGGTTTATGTATTCAAAGAAAAAATGCAGGGACTTGATCATTCAAAATGGGAAAGTTCATTGGGTTTTTCTGGACTTTTCCCTACAATATATTCTGAATTTTGATTGTTTCCTGAAGTGTTTTGAACCCAATTATAGTTTGAGGACCTAAATCAGGTCCAAGTAGAGCATGACATCTAAAACAGGTTTATTTTACACTAACCAAATATTTTGGATGAAAAGATTTGGACGCCCATGCATCACTCTGGTGTGGAATGAATCTAGGATGCAACATGGGGATGAGATCGTGGGTGTTGGCATCATATGGGGATCATGGGCCTTATTATAGAGTTGAACTGGAGTTGGAAAATGAGCAACCTCTTATACTTGCTTTGGGAGTTTTTGGCCTCACAATAATCCACAAGAAAGGGGGATAAAATGGACTTAGGATCACATAATCAATGGTGATTGGTTGGGATAAAAGTTCAGGACCTTCCACCTTGAGGACAAGGTGTCTTCGGGAAGCGGAGTTGTATTAGACTGCGGGTACAAGGTGCCTTCGGGAAGGTACTTCTGAATCGGAAGCTTCTGAGTGAGAACTCAGAGCTTCTAAATGAGAAATCAAAAGCTTTTGAGTTAGTTTCCAAAGACGTTCTGAACTAAGTTAAAAAGCCTTCTTGCCTTATGAAATACACTTGGGGAGCGTTTGGTTTGATGGAATGATTTTAAGGGATTTGGATTTCGTGGAAGGATTTGGAATTGGAGGGATTTGGAATCTTTGGTGTGTTTGGTTTGTAGGATTTTGAATGGAATTGAATTCCATTATTTCTAAAAAGATTATGAATTTTTTTTATCAATAAGGTATTAGGTAATATCAAAAAATTAAAACTAATGTTAAACCAATGGATTGGTTGAGGGAATTACTTCATCCGGTGAGAGCACAAATCACATCACAAGATGAACTTTAATTTTAGCTACCAGGAAAGAAACTGTAAATGTTACATGCCACATCACAAACTGTGGACGAGTATATATAGAGGTTAATTATTTTTTCTCCTGGTGAAATAGAGAACTTACAAGTCAGAAGCAAGAACATCACCTCCAGGGCTATCAATTCGGATGATAACAGCCTTATACCTTTTCGACTCTGAAAAGAAATCAGACAAGTCCATCAACATGAATCTAAAATGAGAAAAAGAAAATATAATCTATGTAATACATCCCTGATCTTCATATTCTAACTTAACCAAATGAGCCAATTATATCCCACCCGGCAGCGGGGTCAAGGGATGCACGCAGACCTGTCCACTACTCCACAAAGTAGAGCAGCTGTTTCCATGAAGACCCCCAACTTGCAAATATAATATCTTGCATCTTCATACACATGTCATGCAGGTTCCTACAGAAACTTCATGTTCATTTTAGCCGTTTCTGTTACCATTTCATATGCTTTAACCTATAGATTACTATACAATATGAACCACTTTGAGTATGCGTGTCGTATTTGTATGTATAAACAAGCTCTTCTGCAGAAACTTATTATTTATCCTAACTAAAATTAGAAAGCAGATGCAAATCTGTTCTATGTTCAGGGTTACTATACAATCATTATGTATTTTACTTTGGTCCTTAACAGCATACTTTTCCAAGATAAAAGGAACTATATAATGTTACATATACCTCTTACTTTGCGAATCTTCTCAATGAATTGCTCAGCGACGATGCCTGAACTAGGTGAAAAAAATGACCCTCCTACACGACTGATGCTACCAGAGGCTCTAATTACAGCTATTTTATCTTTGCCACCTGATAACCCCAATGTCCATTTCTTAACTTTGGAGTATTTCCTGAAGCAAGGATAATAAAATCGTCTTGAGTTATTTGCTGGCAAGCATTCAAGAGAGATATTCCATGAGATTATTGTGTGTATAGAATCATAGAAAAATATGACTCTTAAGCAGAAACAAGTGCTTATAAGATGAAAATGATTCTAAGTGGTTCGCTGCCATATGGATATTAATGGATCATGATGTGCTCATGTGCAAGTCCGTAGGTGCAGGAAAGCATGCGAGGTCTAACTTTCTTTCATTTGACAGAGATAGCAAGTGTAAGATTGCAGATTAAAAGTATCGCATTATCCCTACAATAGTGATGGTATGAATGAGTATATATCAAGTACAAATGATGCAGTTCAATTGAACAGGCTCAAATGAACATCTATGACGAGTATATATCAAGTACAATTGCCATTATGCATGCTAGATACGTCAAGAAGCATAACTGTCTTGCTTCAGAATATATACAAATATATATATATATATGTGTGTGTGTGTGTGTGTGTTTTTGTGTGTGTGGGTGGAATTGCCACAACATGGGAATAGTGTCGTTGAGTTTCTCGACCCTTTGCCTTGTCTCCGCAATACTTTTTGTCAAAAAAAAATTGCATTACACATAGTATGCCCGTCCCCCATCAGCGTATTTTTTTGTTTTACGCACTCGTGGGATCCGGGCGGTCCCCCAGAATGAAAGGGTGTACGTGTATGTGTACGTTTACGTGTACATGTGTGTACGCGTGTGTGTGTGTATGTGTATGTGTATGTGTTTGTTGTGACATGTGCGTTTGCAAACCAAACAAGCCAGTATGTCCCACCTGGAG